TGCAGGGGTGCGCTGGGTGCAGGACCACGATGGCGTGGGGAGAGCGCCGGCGCCCAGCACCGAGCGGTTTCTTCCTCCCTTGTGCAGAGGAAGAGCTGGAAGCGCCGGTTCTTCGTCCTGGATGAATTTTCCATCAGCTACTACAAGTGTGAGCAGGTGAGCAGCCCCTGGCCCCTGCCTGGCACCGGCTGCTCCCTGGAGAGGTCCGGGGGCTGCGGGGGGCTCCATGGGAGGGACACCCTGGCACCACCAGCCCCGGGACCGGCTGAGCCCATCGCCGTCTCCTCTTGTCTCCGCAGGACAAGGAGCCCTTGCGCTCGATCCTCCTCAAGGACGTCTGCAAGAGTCACGAGTGCCTGGTCAAGTCGGGGTAACGCTCCCGTCCGTGTCCCGCTGCCGGGAGCTGCTGGCGGGGAGGAGCCCCCAAGGAGGGTGGGAAGGGGACTGGGCTGCCACTCGCTTTTCCTTCAGAGCCCCATAACCCCAACGTCGCCTCTTTCTTTTGCTTTTAAGAGATTTCTTCCCCTTCAGCTCCGTGTGCGGCCGGGGAGGTGTGGCTGGACACCGGACAGTGTCCCTCCCCGCCTCTGGGCCCGCTGCTCCTGCAGCTCTTACCTCCGCAGACTGGGCGTGTGGGGCCCTGCGCAGTAAATGCCACAAGGACAGAGGGTTCATAAAGCTGCCCAAGGCCCTGCATGGGTGTTTTCCTTAAACTGGCACAGGTGGCTACACGATGTCTTGGGGACAACTTACTGCAGCGAGTGCTGATCAGATCAAAGTAACTTGAAGGCTTGCAATGAAAAATGAACTAAGAAAACAAACCTCTTTAGCTAAAGTAAAAATGTAATTTATTACTACACCTTTGAATTGTTTATTCTCAATGAGCAATAGCTCACATTTGGAATGAACTGTAGGTGAGATGGTGTCTGGGTCTGGGGAGGGGTCTCGCCTGCAGACAGCGGGAGCTGGAGCGTTTAGCTGAAGGTCTCTGGGGAGCTGGAGTCACCTTCTCAAAATCCCGATGAGGTCCAGGGTTTGCCTTCATGATGGTTTTCCCCAGCACACTCTAGCAATGACAGTAAACACAGATTTTTTTTTTTTTTTTTCCTTTATCCATACTTGTGGGTAGTGACCGTCTCTTTCTCACTGTTCCTAGCGACCTCCTGATGCGGGACAACCTCTTTGAAATCATAACGACCTCCAGGACCTTCTACATCCAGGTGAGGCAGCTGGTGGGAGCTGCGCTCCCGGGAGCCCCCCGGCAGCCCCCTGGCCAGCGGGCGCCAGAGGAGTTTGGTGGTTCGGGACGGGCGGGCTGGTGGTGGGATGCAGACCCCGACCCTCCGCAGGGCAGGGTTGGTAACACCCCGACAACTTTTTTTTCCTGAAATGCCTTACCTGTGCTTGATACAAAAATGCAGCAGTGTGGGGAGCGGTTCTCTCTGTGGGGGAACAGGCGGTGCTGCGGTGATTTTTCAGCAGGGATGAAGGATCCGGAGCGCCTGGGGGCCGCGGTACCGGCCCGACTCTGGCCGCGGGGGCTGCAGGAGGCGAAGTCTCACCGAGTCTCACCGGGTGGGTGTTTTGCAGGCAGACAGCCCTGAGGACATGCGCAGCTGGATCCGCGCAATCACAGGGGCAGTCCAGGCCCTGAAATTCCGCCCCAGGGTAGGTCACGTCCTTCTTGCTTCCTATTTAGTGTCCAGTGAAGATGATGCCAGTGTAGGAGAGGTGGATTGAGCGGTTTGTGCTGCGTGGTTATAGCTCGTTCCCGGGATGAGATCCCCGGCCCTCTTGGGGTTTGTTTACCACTCGCTGCAGAAGTTTCTTTGAAAAAGATGGAAAAGTGAGATTCAGCCATTGAATGGGGCCTGCGTGACCCCTGCTCTGCTCCGAGGCACAAGCGAGAGCCTGACTGATGGCAAAGGGCTGTTGAATTCAGACTTTCAGTTTCCTTAGGGTTTGAGGTTTTTTTTTTTCCCTCTGCAAAGTGCGTAAAGGGCCTGGGCCTGGTCCCCAGACCCCAGCCAGCGCTCACTCCGGGTCTGTCCTTGCAGGAAATGTCCTTCATGAGATCCACCTCCGTGGCCAAGCCCGGGGGCTCCTCGGGCGGCCCCCAGCAGAAGCAGGCGGTGGAGGAGAGGAGAGCGCTGTGCAGAGCCCCCCCATCCTCCTCCTCGTCCTCCTGGCAGCCCTGGACGCCGGTGCCACAGGCCGGGGGGAGGCAGCCGGTGCCGGGGGAGGTTTCCACCTCCACGAGGGACTCGGTGTTCACTCCGGCCCTCCCGGAGCGTGACGGCGGAGCGGCGCCGGGCAGGCGTGTGCGGCACAGGTCAGAGCCGCAGCACCTGAAGGAGAAGCCGTTCGCCTTCGACCTGGACGATGAGAGCATCCGGACCTCCGATGTCTGACTGGGGGCTGAGCCGCCCCCCCGGGTCCCTGCGGGGCGGACGGTTGGTCTCAGACCGAGTTCACCCCATCACGGCGGGGGTGAAGTGGCCCCTTCCCTCCGCTGCCGCCCTCCCCCCCCCGACACGGGCTCCCTGGACCCGTGTCCCAGCGCCCCGCTCTGCCGGGGGCCGGGGTCCCTGCCTGCTCCTGCCTGGACTCTGCCTGGGGGGGGTCGGTGTTTTGGGAGCTGCCTCCGGGCAGGACGACCCACAGGCACCTCGTGCTACCATCGCTCGCTGTGCAGAGCGGACCCGGATGAGGGGGCACCCTCTTCTGCAACCGCATAATTTCCCCCAAAACCTGGAGGAAGCAGTGGGAGGTCTCGGAGGCATGAAGGGGAGTGTGGCCTTTCTTGTTTTAGAAAAGACATTTTTCTCCCCTTTCACGCTGCTCAGCCTTCCCCAGGCAGCTGGGCAGAGCCGGGCAGAGCCAGCCCGCAGCTGCCTGCAGGAGGGACGCGCTGCAGCTCCCCCATTCGATGACATTTTCCCGAGGAGATCAGCTCCTTACGCTGCCTGACCAGTGGGGTATCGACAGCTCTGCTGGCTTTTAATTACCCTTTTTATACCTGTGGCCAGTGTTAGACCGCGGCGCCGGCAGGCTCCTGCTCAGCCCCTCGGAGAGGTTTGTTGGTACTTTCTGAGCGTGAGCCTGGGCGAGCGGCCAGTGCCGCGGTGGCTCCCAGCGACGGGAGGATCTTCGGGTACGGTGTCGGCTTTGCACTGTGTCTGTCTGGGCACCACAAAGTCCTGCCCGGGTGGCAAAGAGCTTTTAGCAAAAAGCAGCACAAGCCGAGTGTCTGATGGAGACGGGAAGAATCGCCCAGCCCACTCGCCTGCTGCCCGCCTTGGAATGAAAACGAGCGGAAGTTTTTAGAGCAAATTTGTGATTTCCATAACCAAATCAGCTCCTGCAGGAGCACCAGGGGCTGTGCGGGGTGTTTTAACACATTCTTGTTGCCATCTCGGCTGTGCCCCAGCCGACACAGGCTCAGCAGCGCGGGGAGTGGGCTGGAGTTACGAGGCTTCCCTTTACTGTGGACTAGTTACCTGGTTTTGGTTTTTGTTTTTTTTTTTTTTTTTCTTTTCTTTTTTCTTGTCATTACGTGTTCTCTGCTCTGCAATATCAGCTCACCGTGCTCCCCAGGAGCAAAAAAATCTGGTTTGTCCCTGCCCTTTCCAGGTCTCCAGCTGTTGGACAGTTGTGCTTCAGCCTAGCTGAGGCTCGGCCTGGGACCGAGCGGAGCTTTATCAGTTGAGCTCCGAGGTGTTGGTTGACCCAATGGATCTTAACGAGCTTAAAATTGCATCGATCCCCTCCCGCCTCGGAGGGGCTCCTCCTCCAGCCCTGCTGCGCTGGGGCCCGGGCAGGCGCGGCTGAAGGTGCCTTGGCGCAGCCTTGGGCCAAATTCAGGGGTTAGAGTGGCTCAGGGGGGTTGCGTGGAGGTGTGGAGAACACTGAAACTATGAAAACGAGTGGGAATCGATGCAAATGGTACGGGGTGAGTGTTAGTATTTGTTATTTAATTGTAGAAACCTAGATCATGCTGTTCCTTTTTTTTTTTTTTTCCTTTATTTGCACTAGTGTTTGGAATATTTTAATTTTTTTAGGCTGACTTGCTGTTTGGCTCATAACATGGTGCTCCAGAAATGTTTCAGTGATTTGGTAAGCCTATCAATCACAGAGTCACAGCGTTTGGTGATAGCGCTCTGACCTGGTTTCTGGAGAACATCGGAGGGATGATGGTTACTTTGTGCAATGCCTCAGAACCGTGGAGCACCAAGTGTTTGTGTTCTTGGTAATGGCAGAGTTTCCTCGGGCCTGGGATGGTAAAGCAGACGCTTGTTGCACAATTATGGTTAATTATTCAGGAGGAGAAACTACCAGTGACTCCAGAGCTATTGCAACATTCCTGTTGCTCATTCCCACCCTCCCCAGCCCCAGGACAGCAGAAGGGCTGGATGCGGGACCCGTCTGTGGTGCAGGTGGTGGGGTGGGGAGGAATTTCCCCTCCCCAGGGACCAGGCAGATGCAGCCAGAGCTCAGTGGAGCTTTGTGGTGATTTTAAATCAGGCTGTTGTCCCTTCACCTCTGCTTTGCCTCCCGGCTCTCCCACGTGGGGATGGAGCATCCTCCTGTGCTGTGAGTTTCCTGCTGGCCCAGGGACACGCTAGGGTTCGAGGGATCTTGGGTGGAAGGAGCAGTGTGAGAGACGGGTTTGCTCTTTTCTGTGGAAACTCCCAGGCGGTTTCGGCTGTCTGTGAGCGCTGGTGGTGGATTTCAAGTGCTCTTAGGGCCGGGGGGCCTCACATAGGCGATACTCCGTGACACCCGGGGCTTTGGTTACTTGCTTCCCCCCACCCCCCGGGCCTGTAAATGCTGGCTGCAGATGAAACGCCCTTTTTCCCTGTTTTTAAATAAAGAAAGAAATCCCAGGTGCTTTTCCAGGCTCTATTTGCAGTGTGTGTTTTGGGTAACGATTGCTG